TTTTCTTTAAAATATAGAGTATTTTTTTTAAATAAAAAATATTTATCCAAAAGTTAAAATAGAGAATATATATATATATATATATATATATATATATAATATATATATATATATATATATATATATATATATATATATATACATATCATTCTAATAAGATTGTCTATTTTTACTATTTTATATTTTGTCATTTTTAGGAATAAATCTAATTTCTCACTTTTTTTTCCTTTATTCTTTTACCAAACTTTGAATATTTTATTTACCCACCATTTCTCATGATTTCGTTCCAACCGCTATCCAGGGGCGGTTCAAGGCAATTTGAGGTCTAAAACGGTAATTTATTTTTAGTGTTACAAATTTTGATTAAAATTAATTCTTCTCATTTTTTGAGTTGTAAAAGTATAAATTGAATTTTTATATTTAAATTTTGTTATCATATTTTTTTTTATTGATAATATTGCTAATCCAATTATTTTTTCTTGTGAAATTCAATTTTAAGTAAAATTTTATCAATTAAAGCTTCTTTTTGTAGAAGAATTAATAATAATATTCTATAAGTAATGCATATATTTGAATAAAAAATCTAGTCTTTTTATATAATTTAGTGTCTCAATTGGAATATTTTCTTTCATTTATAAAATCTTCTTTAAAATATTTTTTAAAAAAAATAAATCTAAACTATCAATGTCAGAAAAATTGTTATGTTTTAAAAAACATCCGAGATCAAGATAAATTTTTGTAAACTATCAACATTCAATGATTTTATTTTTAAGTTAAATAAAAACCTAAAAAATATTCTTTATTTGAAATTGATATGTAGAGAAGGTGAGTGAGAATAAAAATGGGAGGGAGGGGTTATCTAGTGTTGCACACACACACACATATAGAGAGAGAGAAGAGAAGAGAGATGGGAATGACTGGGTGAATTATGACTTGACTTTTGAGTATATCATCCATTTTTTTTAATAGAATTTTGATTTTTTGGGTTTTTATTGTTATGGGTTGAATAATGAGCTCAAAAAAAATATTAAAATTTAAATTTTTTATTGGCCTAAAAATTTGACTTAGACGTTTTTGTAGGACTTATAATTTTCATAGACTTAAAATTTTAAAGTGTACCAACTATTTTCAAGTACATTTTTAGGATGTAAGGAATATTTTTTGTGCTTCATCATTTGATGGACAATATCATATATATTTTTGGAAATAAATTAAAAAAAATTTGGTCTATGCTCAATTGACAATTCTAGCTCTTAACTCTATTTTGATTGAGATTGAACTTGGGAAGTGATCCACCCCTATTTATTTATTTATTTATCCTTTGCTTTCCTTCTTTTTTTGTGGTCATCCTAATCATAGTATGTTGTAGAGCAACAGGACCAACATGAAGTGTATATTTGTGAAGTCATTATTCTTTAAATTTATTATTCAACATTACCGTATAAATTTATGATCATACAACCATGAATAAGTCATTAAAATTTCGTCTCTCTTTTTCAATCTCTCCCCTGAAAATGTTCGTTCTCATTTGAAATGAAAATCCATGGAGTCAAAGAAATTCAATAGCTTTCAAGCCAGGCTTTTTTTTTTTTGTTTCTTTTTAAGTAACACCTTGCACATCCTATCATGTTTACATCTTCCTGGTCTGAATCTAAAGGCCAAATATGGATCCAAAATAAATAATACAGGTTGCCAACTGTCACGACCCGAAGCCGATCTCTTTAGATCCGTCAATTCAATTATAAATAATTTCAATCAAATCAAAGCACTAAAATCTTTAATAAATAAAAATAGAATCGCCCAATCTTTAAAAATAATTACAATGGTTCAAAGCACTCCCAAAATTGTGAAATTTCACCAATGGTCAATAATCCAAAGTCTAATTTCTCAATTGGTCTGATCATCCATCAGCTTTCAATTTCTTTTCAACCTGCATAGTAGAGGGGTAAATAGGGGTGAGTTTGGAAGGCCCAATAATCAATTTCCTACATAATATGTGGAATAACAAGGTTATATGATAATCCAACAATCAACCGTAGAATCAACAAATAAAATGATCATTTAACACAAATCCCTTCAGAAAATCATACAAAACCCCACGATTCGATTCAAATCATTCGAGGCTTCGTACTTGGTTTGACTTGACCATATACTAGGCGCTACTTAGTACATCACATTTTATCACATGCCCCTCGAGCCACAATCACGTCTTAATATTAAAACCATGCCACCGAGTGTGTTTGACGCATGTGCCAATACGTCCCAAAGACTTCACCAACAAAAATGGTTTTTGCACAAAAAATACAAAGACACCCACCAAACAAAAAACCAAACGAACATCACAAATCAACGGTTAAACACTAGATTAGAATATAATGACAATAACAATAGAAGGACCCTTTGCAAAGAGATTTATATAATTTGATATTGAAACAGATACATGCGAAGATATTGATGCCCAAAACAACACTCTAAAGTTGATGTCGATAATTTAGTTGTTGATCACTAAACCAAGCACAATTCCTCCCATTGTGATTTTTGTTCTTTTTTGCTCACGGTTTTCTCTCTCTCTCTCTCTCTCTCAAGAATTTTCCACTTGCTGTTATGCACAAACTATATGTAATATAGTCATCTAAGAGATCAAAGGCTGCCAAAACCTCCTCTAATATAAAATTGTCAAAACTCATGTGCACTAAATCCTTTATATACACTACCAACCCAAAAGGTTATGCCTGAATTTTCACATTCCAATTACCCCTATATCAATGGTCAATATGAAAGAGAGTTAAAAGTGCAATTACTCCACCCATTCACTCTAAGTTTATTTCCAAATATGTCACAGTTCAATTTCTATCACAATTGTAACCAGCATTCCATCTAAGGCTAAGATCTCTCCACCTATAAATATTCATGTTTATTTTATTTTTTTTCTATTTAGTTATGTTATTATCTAGAGCTTAAATCAAGCAACTAAATCTTGTTTTATTTAAACTACTATTTGGTTCAGGTCATCACACCAACTCCCTGTTACAATTGCAGAGATACAAAGCATAAGTGTTTATTGGTCTGCGCAATTCTTATCAAAAAATAGTAGATGAAATGCTTATACATGCAATGCTTAATACAACCAGTAAAGGAATAAATGAATATAATGTCTCCATGGTGGGTCAGAATATAATTGGAAAGTTCCCCATCACTGGCACTGGCATACACATCTGAGATGATTGAAGGATCTTTTCAGCTAACTGACAACTAGTAAATTAACACCAGTATAAAATGTAAATATAAATCCTTGCCAAGTCTCAATGAAAAATTAAAAGTGGTTACGGCATGGGGAGGAGGGATATGTGCATTCCTGCGTCAAAGACAACTATAGATTATGGTGATAAAGCTTCTCAACAAATGTTTTCACTATTTAGCAGCCTAATACAACAAATCTACACAAGTGACCAAGTCAAAGCATGTAGATTCCTCTCTAGAATAGAAAGTCATATTCTCAACTAAGAAGCTAATTTCAGTACCCTGTGGTGCCATATATACTTTTCGGCAAGATCATAAAACCCACAAATCCAATCATTGAATGTGTGACAACCCAGAAAAAAACAAGTCAAAAAAAATAGAAACAATTAGCACGTGAAGAAATTAATAGAGAGAGAGAGAGAGAGAAAGAGAGAAAGAGAAGTAGATTAGCTACTATTGTAATTTGCTGACCACTTTCCCAAGTTGTAAATTCATTAGTTCCAGGCTGATACTGTAAGTTGCTCACCACTTTCTCAAGTTAGTGCCCATCATTAGGGAACCTAACAGTGATTGACAATTTTAGAGTTTCAAATCAAGTGGATCGATTATGATGAAAATTTAGACTGCTCTTAATAGCATTGAGGTCTTTATATCCATGGTTTCAATTGAAGTTTAAGTGGATTATCTCATAATATGCATCCTAATTAAATCTCTTTGCAGTAATCTGTTGTTGTCCTGCACTCACATTCCGATTGGTTGGTTTGTTACTGTAAATTGAAACTCCTTTGATTATGTCCAGTGTGTTTTGAAATTTGTGTGCTATGATATGAGCGTGCTTGATTCTCACATCGTTCGTTAGACAAATATCTGTTTCCACTGATTTTGAGATGTGTCAATTTCAGTATTGATTTTTGAGACATAATTGTGATGATTCTTGCTTCTGCAATTGATTTTTGAGTTATTCTGTTATCGTTCAATTCCTTTTATTTCATATTTTATGTTTTAATCTATTTATTGGACATCCCAAGCTAACCACTTATTTACCCTCTTAGATGCAGGTTAACTTGAGAGTAAAGGCAGTAGAATCAAATCAACTGAGGAATTTAAGCATATTCTGTAACTTGTTTTCTACAATAGTTTTGACAGTGATGCAACAGTTGTGATTATTTCGAACATTGGAAGGATTAATTTTGAGGTTTTAGCACTTTTTATGAGTTAAATTTGACGGTAATTGAGTTCAACACCAAATCCATGGGAATTGGGTACAGGGCACAACAATGTATAATCAAAGAACAGATAATGGGACCTCAAGATAGAAACCGTAACTCTTCCAATCCATGCTACTATAATGGGTATTTCCCACTTCGTACATCCAAGTTTAGGAATTACTCTTTTCAAGCAGAAACTGTTTCCAACAACCTCATTAAAGGTTTCGCTGAAAGACAGAATTATTGGAGGATCCTCTAATTCTCTTTGAATGGCGAGGACCTATTCACATCAACATATTCAGTTCCATTTGAATTTCAAATTTTAAAATGTTTTATAAGTAAGATAAGATTTGTTAACGTAGATAAATCCTCACCATTAGAGGGGAGCCAAGCCCGGTAAAAGGTGGCAAACACACCAGATGATTTATATAAGCAGCATCACAGAAATTGCAAGTTGGATAGTTCACTGCACGTGTAGATTAATGGAAGAAAATAAAATCTGAACCCAGGAGTGTTTGCTAGCTTACCCTGAAGAAAAGCCTCAAAATCTTCCTATGGATGAAATGGAGTGAGATCAATTTTCATCTGTTGCTTCCCTTTGCTAACCCTCTTCAACAAATCCAAAGAAGAGAAATTAGATCATTAAAATGGAACAAAAAATAGAGACCATCATTTGAGAGAATTGTACCTAAATCAATGACACGTAGGCATAGTAAGCAGCCAACAGCCCCTAAACAAAATCTTATAGTGTCCCACTTGTTAAGTTCAATGTTGTAGCTCTAGAGATACATATATAACTTTTTCTTTTGGTTATACCAAAGTTACACAAGATAAGTTTTTGAAATGCAATAATATTCCAGATTCCTCAGTCATCCAGGTAAATGTGTCCAGTTTCCATAATTAGAGGCTTAATCATAACACACAAGAGGTGTTTCAAAACTATCTAAAAAAAAAATTTCAGATAGTATTATTCAAACCAGCTCAAACTTAGTTAAGCAGTGATTATTCCACAATGGAGAGAAAGAATATTTGAATCAAATGATGACAAATCTGACCCATTTCAAATAATGTAAGCATCCTCATGCAATACATTATTATGAATTTTAAACACTCTGGAGGCTACTGTACAACACTGTCATGCACCTACTAGAAACTTCAACAAAATGCAAAATCTTTTACTGCCAAACCTGCCATTATAATCTGAAGTGTCTCAAATCATTCCTCACGCAAACTGTCCACATTTATGTTCACTGAACACCAGTTTGCACTAGTCTAAAGTAGGGCCGATCTTGGATTCAACAACTCCATCATGAAAGCATTACTATCATAGTTTGAGCATAAATCAGCTCAAGCCAGAAAGGTTATTTCAACATTTTAAAGTTAAGTCACGGATCAAATTGTATCACTCTGCTCATCTGACAAACCAAAATTTCACTTCTTTCCGTTGAATAAAATAATTACTTTTAATGTCAAGCCATCATAGTCAACTTTTTCCCATCTTATCCCAAATGGTCCTACCATCAAGTTTTAGTGAATGTGCATCCATACAAGGACAGAACCAAGATTTTACCATCAAGGGGGCCAAACAAGAACAATGACACGGTCAAAAAATTTATCAATGAGTACATTCGTTATGTTATTCTTAGTATTTAGCTTGAATCATAATATCTAAAAAGATATATCACGATCCACTTATTCTCTTACCTACGACATGATGTTGCGATTACAAATAAATTACCATCTTAAATATTAGTTTCACACCATACTTCCGACTAATTAATCACGAGTCCGTATATTGTTTATCATATAAGCAATTTTTTTTTTGTGGTCATCAAATTGATTCTGGCAAATATATTTTTGTCCATAAAAGGAGCACTCATCCATGTGATTAACATAGCATTCATCATCTGGTTATTAAAGGCCGTTTATTATTTATTTGAATGCAATAAATAAAGTATCATAAACATATATATATGTTTTTTTTTTGAAAACCTTGGAAAGATGTAAAGTTTTTTAAAATAGGGGTATAAAGTATTTTTGAAAATTTGAGCTGGACCATGACCCCCCCCCCCGGGGGCAGAGGCCCCCCATTTGGTTCCATCTCTGCATACATATAGGACTCGTTTGGTAGACGTATTATGAAAGGATTAAATATTGGATTGTACTATTTTTTATTTAATCGGCCTAATACTTAGTTTGATAAACAAATTTAATACCGTATTAATTTCAAAAACGTATATTTATCGTATATTTTTTGTACGATAGACATGTATTATGCATATATTTTAATACCATTATAATCCAACTCAAACGCATTATTCTACACATTTACTATTATATTCAATCAATTAATAAAATCAAGTTGTCATCAATATAACAAACACTGATTGAAGATATTTTTGTTAATTGAACTTTAATACTATAAAATAATTCTCTAATCAAACAACTGATTGGATTAAATAACTATTATCCAACGTTTATGTTGTGTATTGTCAAAAAATAGATAAAATTACGTATAACTTTAATACGCAATTTAATCTTATATTTTGTCCTTCTATATTGTATTAGACTGGATTATTTTATCTAATCCATCAATTTCTAATACGGCAACCAAACGAGCCCATAATATTTCACTTTCGTGCTTTACAATTCATCCAAGCTAAAATTACGTAAGATGCTAACATCTTGGAATAAGTATTCTTTAGAACTCCAATAATCCATACTATGCAGGGGTAGAATAACTTACAGCAATTACCACAAGCTCTTCAAGCAGTTCCTCCAGATGGCGCAGAGGCTATAATTAAAAACAAGACAAGTGGATAGTCTACAGCTTAAAGGCTGCTTCAGCGTATATATAATACCTCCAAAAAGAAACACTCTTTCATGTATATTCCCCCAAATTTTTGCAGTACACAGAAACTTACCCACTGTGTTGGACCATCCACTGGAGCATTTAGAGGGTCATCATGTACCTAATCATCCAAAGAATACCGTTAGGCAGTCTAGAAAGCAGGAAATTGAAGGGAAAAAAGGAATAATAATGGAAAATCAACATTTCCAGGAGTTTTTATGATAATGTAAACCCAATATTTTCCAAGCATATGCTCTATGAACTTAAAGAATACAAATCACCTAGTTGGCAGCGATTGCATTATTATGAACACAACATCTAGTATCTTGTAATCATTGCTTTATTTTATCCCCTCCCTCAGAGAACTAATAGAGAGATACAGGCAATAAACTAATCAACCAGAGCAGATTCTAACAAGATACCTCCATGAAAATTCCATCCACTCCCACAGCAACTGCTGTCCTTGCAATGCAAGGGATTAATTCACGAAGACCTCCACTAGCAACACCGCCACCTTCCAACTAATTCAGAAAGAAGAAATGTCACCCAATCATATACAAATAAACTTCAAATATAGCTAAAAACTTTTCAAAGACTCCAATAATTTGAGATGACAAAATCACAAATTGCTTCCCTGGTTGTATTTTGTAAATGAGATAGAGTTGTTTCAAGAACATTATCCATTATGAAATCAAATTTGACTGTATTTGACATGTTCATTCAACCGAAAAATGATTTCTTTGTTCAAGTGAATTGCAGCTGTAAATCAAAACTAGAAACGACAGTTTGTTGGAAGGCAATAATTATTCTAGGACCATCAAGTGGCCCTCTAAGGTTTAAAAAATATCTCCGCCTTTTTGTGGAAAGTGTCTCAGTTTGCTTACTAATTGATCTTTTACAATCAATAAGAAAGCATTTCTACTTATAGCTGATAGCCCCAATTCCATTAGGAAAAGGCAAGTAAAGCTTTTGGGTTTGTCGGATACTACTAACATAAATTTTATCAAATTTACAAAAACTAATTCAATTTTATGCGCATCCCTGTCGAGCTTTTGTAGGGATTATATCTTGCATGCCTGTGACAAATGTACAGGGAAAAAAAAAAAAAAAAGATCTACCCAATGCTCTAATCCTCAAGCATGAGTCGACAGATGACCCTCACCTTCCTCCCAGCAGGTTGCTGCAACGAATGTGTGACATCAGCCACCTGCACCACAATACATGGATGAGATGAACAAATCTTCTAGGAAATAGAAGTGACTATACGCAGCACGAAACTGATACTATCATAAAAACATTTTCATAGCATCATTATAATAGGCACGATCATAACTAATCCACATACCACAGGACAATCTGCTTCCCTCATCCACTCGAAGTTGCGTGGATCTACAATCAAATCATCTGCATAACAGATCAAACATGTTATCAATGAAACTGAAAAAGAAATAAGATCAATACTGCATCAACAACAATGTTGTGACCAAGGATCAAAATATCGTTTCAAAACGGTCGAAACATCCAAAACGTTCCCGTTTTCAAAGAGACTGAAACAAATCAGTAATGAAATCGAAATATTAATACTTCGAGGTGTTCCATAATGTTTCAAAATATTTTGTTATATTTTCATGCATTTTCGGAATGTTTCAAGGTATTTTAAGATATTTTGGTATATTTCCACCAATGTTTTAAAAAAATAATTTTTAAATTTTTTATTTTTTTCCATTCTGCTTTTGAAACCGGTCGAAACGTTTCTGAAACACATCGAAACTTTTCCGTTTCTTAGATGACTGAAACAATTCACCGAAACGAAATTTTGATCCATGGTTGTGACATGCTTAAGCAAAATTGTGGCTCTAACATCAAAGAAAATTCCAGAAAATATGCCAAACAACTTAATTCATGAAAGTTCAAAAGATAGATATTAATGTGCACAGTTAACTAGTTAAATGCCAGTTTCGAATATGTATATTTTTTTCTTTTATAACGTGAAAGCATTATCAGATTGAATCTGGAATTAATCCATGGATGCTTTTGGAAATCTACATCACTGAATAATGGACAGCATCGCACACTCACACACACCCAAAATATTCATAGCTCTGCTCTTGTTCTAATCTGTTATGGTGTACTGTACCGATCTTTACAGGCTTTTCAGAGGTCAAGTCAGATAAAATCTTCGAATGCTCCATTATTCAGAACCCTAATGCATAATATAGCATTTGATTGAAACTTTTGATGACTTACTGTAGCCAAACATGGTTCCTCTCTCGCAAACCATTACATTGTTATTCCCAGCCAATCTGACCTTTTCAGCAGAATTTAACATGACCTAAAAAGCTAATGAATCATTAGTTCGACAAATGTTTCCCAAAATAAAAGTATGGACATGTATAAATCTAGCAACGTTCACTTACCGAAGGAGCACAGAATTGACCCTTCTTAATGTTGACAATTTTTCCAGTTTTGGCTGCTGCAACTAAAAGATCCGTCTGTCAAGAGGCCACAAAATCTATTAATTAAACTAGCCGACAAAAATATCTCTTAAGATCTCCTGAAGGAAGGGAAAATAATGCATCCTTATTATAAAACTTCTGATAATGGTAGGAGAATAATTCACCTGTCGGCACAGAAAAGCAGGAATCTGAATAATATCTGCAACCCTGCCGACTGCTTCACACTGAGAACAAAATCGGTGTTAAATACAGTCCATGCCCCGTTGCACACCAGTTCTTGCCAGTCCTTTTACTACCATTTTTGGAACTAGTATAAAAATAAGAATGCAAATGCTAAACCTAATAAGAAAACTAAAACAAAATAAAATAATGTAGACATAAATCTCTAGACGATGCCAGTGGGACCATGTGACTTCCCTCTAGAGGTAGTGAGAGGATAGGATGATTTGAACCAAGCAATCAATCAACTAGCTAACAAAGTATATCTAAATATACACATCTTCAGCACCAATGACAATCTTGGCAACAAGTATCAAAACAGCACACAGGCACAAATACTCTAAACTTTAAAGGTAGAAAAAGGACACTGCAGAAGTTTGGTTCTAATAATTTAAGTCTTTCAAAATTATGTGACTTAATGTGGTGGCATCCTTACCCAAAAAAAAAAAAGGGTAAATTTCAACATTAATTTGAAACAAGGACATCCATATGAATGGACATTTGATAACAAAATATAAACTTTAGTGGAGCCTTCCTTAATAACAGGTAAAAACCTAAACGGCTGCAGCTCCAGCTGCATGACAAGAAGTATCGTACTGTCAAGAAAGATAAACTACTGAAATAAAATAGCAAAGTATGCACTTTTCTCCAACAGTAAAAAGCATAGAGGTAGGGAAATTACTATATATAGAGTAGACCGGACAGGGGTCAATTCCTCTAATGGAGAGGCTGACATTTTTAATTTCAACAACCAAATCAAGTGTTGAAAAACATATCTATAAAAAAAAATATCTATAACATAAATGGAAGAGTTATACTGAAAGAGGAAAGAAAAGGTTACCTGAATGGCTTCATGTACATCAGTGACTATGGGAAGGTCATATGCTATTTTCACTTTTTCAAGGATCTACAAACAAATGGAAGTGACATGAATGTGTTAGAAGTTGACAGGCATTCCACGGGATTGTTTGTATACAACACATCACACTAAGATTACCATAAATTTGGATGGTCCCATTGCACCTTCTATGGCATTCATGTAAAAGTTTATCAACTACACAGGGGCCATATAGGAAAGAGTACTTTATTTTTGTTTCATCAATTTTAGTTTTCTTTGAAATGATAGATTCAAATGTTGAACGTAGCCAATGCTTTGAGCCAAGATAATAGGGTGAATCTACTTTTGGAATTTTATGTAGGATATTACTGAGGGTATCCAAATTTTGTTGGGCAATGCAAGACAACCTAGCACATGTCGCATTAGTGACAAGAAAAGGTAAAAAAAAATTGAAATCGCTGCTTATGTCGAACACAATGATGCATTAGAACATGATAGTACAGAATAATACCTTCAAGCCTTCACTGAGGCCAGGACCACGAAATGATTTGGAAGATGTCCGATTAGCTTTGTCAAAGCTTGACTTGAAAACCAATTGCAACCCAAGTCTAGAAGAAAAGTGAATCTTTTATAATATAATCCATATAAATATATATAATCCATAGATCAAACAGTAGTACCACGTTTGCTCCTAACAGGAAAACGCAAAAATAAGAACTTAGGGTTCTCACATAAACAGAAACAGACTCCGTTATTTTCCATTAGGAGATAGGGATTGTTTGTTTATACTTCATGTCCATATAAGGAGGGGGAGAGAGTTACGCTTACTTAGAAGTGATAGCCTTAATGTGCTTGGCCATACGCAGAATGTGGTCCTCCGATTCAATCACATTAGGACCAGCTAGTAGGAAAAATGGTTCTGCGGTCTGTTTGAAGGTTTGACAGACAGAGATTAGTAAGTAGAGTAAAAAAATCTACAAATGTAAACGACTATCTTCAAATTGCAATGAGAGAGGGAACCTAGCTACTCAAACCTTGAGCTGGTTGAACAGCATAGTTGATGAAGAATCCATCTCTGAATTTGCTGAGATTGCTCTCTAGTTAGCTACAATAACAACACACAAAAAACAAATCTGCAATTTAGGGATCTGGTTCAGAGAGAGAGATAACTACTTTCTTTCAACTTCACAGGCGGTCCCAAAGTGTTGAGTGAGTGAAGAGAGAGTATTATGATAGTTAAGGGATCAGGTGAATGGATCACTGGTTCAACTGGGTCATTAGTCGAATCGGTAATATAATTAAAAAATAATTATTAATGATACAAACCCACAACGCAGAATGCTTCAGACTACAGAGAGATAGACAGAGACAGAGACAGAGGCTGTACCTGCTATGCTGTGTGCTATTCCACACGTGAGGGATGCCTAGGAAATGGAAATCGGCAATGGAGCTCTGGCCAGTGAATCCCTCCTACCTCGACTTCGAAGGTTTGTCGTTCGAACTTTGCCTTCGACTTCGACGCAGCGCAAAGAAGAGAGAGAGATAGAGGGAGGGAGGGAGGAGACTGAGGACTGGACTGGAGAGAGAGGCCGTCGGACCTCAGTCGTTCGTGAGAGGTGTAGCTGAGGAATCAAAGGGCAAAAAATGCCCAAGCCAAAAGCACTACTATTTATCCCTTTCAAACTAATCCGTCCGGTTTTTTTGAATCGTCCGGTTTGAACGGTTTACTTAAGAACCGGGAGGTTCATTGGGTTTTCTCCGATTTTTGTACATAAACGATCTTTTATAGGAACCGGCCTTGTTCTAGCTCCGGTTAACAGGGTTCCCGGGTTGACCCACCGATCCGGACCGAATTTTAAAACACTGTTATCAACGGATCTGGCTCGGTTATATCATCCTAAACATTATAGTTAAGGGTAGGAACGGATCGAATGTAGAGCAAATTACGGTTAAGCCGCATCCGATTAAAAAATGTAATTGAAATTCAATTCGTTTATCCGATGGATTTGGAAATAATAAAAATTCATCAAATTTCAAATTTGAGATTAATTCATATAATCTTGGTTCAGTTATAAAAACAAGTTCGCACATATTGACACATCAGCCAAACAAAAGATGAGGCATTAAGCAAAAGTTATAATTGGGGCCCGTTAAAAATTTATTATAAATATAATTTTAACATACAACTAAATTTCATTTCAAATTTGGTATTCTCACTTTTTGTGATGTAAAATTAGTGATTAATTTTTTGTATTCACATTTTGTTAGTATATCTTATTCAAGTTTTATGCTTTTAATATTTGGATTCATATTTTTACAGTTGACATATTCAAACTCCAAAATTATTGTAAGCAAAACAAAGTGTTAAAATAATAAATGATTATACTAAGACAAGGTTTAATAAAATGTAACAATAATATATGAAAAATAGAGATTGTATAAATTTACTCTTTATTCATCTTTTAAATTGTCTTATAAATTATAATTTCACAAAAAAATAGTTGAATTAAATAATTATATTATAAAAATATAAAAAATAATTTATTATAAAAATATAAAAAATAATTTATTATAAAAATATAAAAAATAATTTATTAATGTTTATATGTGTCCTATATAGATCATGAGAAAGAAAAAAGTTTTTT